CAGGGCACAGGGAATGGCTTCACGCTGGCAGAGGACGGGTGCAAATTAGATACTGGGAAGAAATTCTGGGCTGTGGAGGATCGTGACGCACTGCCACAGGTTGCCCAGAGAAGCTGTGGCTGCCCCCCTCTCTGAAGGAGCCAGGCTTTGGACGGGGTCTTGGGAGCAACCTGGCTGGTGGAGGTGTCCGCTGGCCCGTGGCAGGGGGTCAGAATCACAGAATCACACACTGAATCACAGAATCAACTAGCTTGGAAAAGACCTCTGAGATCATCAAGTCCAACCCATGACCCAACACCAACCTGTCAACTAGACCATGGCACTAAGAGCCATCCAGTCTCTTCTTAAAAACTGCTTGGATGAAGCCTGGGGAAGGGAAATGATGGTATGACAGAAGGCTACTGAAATCATCAGGATTTCTCTCCTATCCATTGGATCTGTATGGCAGTGAGATTAGATTTTCATGCAATGTCTTCAAGGTGCCTTCAATCCAGCAGAATATTAGAGAATGTTTTTAGTTACTTCAGTCATTTCAAGGAAGGTTTGTAGTCCTATGCAACAGGAAGGTATACTGGGAGAGAGGTAGAAAGACACATGGACTGCTGAGGCAGCAGTGTGACACCAGCACACTGCCTGCCTGCTCTGGCAAGTTTTCTCTTTTTTTAACATTAAGATGAAAGAAAAGCCCAAACTTGGTTTTAAGAGCAGAGAAACACCTGGTAGGTGTCCCATGCTTTCTTTAAACTAATGGGTTTTTGTCTGCTGGACACATTTATCTTATGTAATTAGGATCCTCCAGTTGGGTCTTTGTGCTGTGGGAGGCACCATTCACCAATGAGCTTTCACCACGGGTAAAGATATATCAGGTAAATTAAATAAGTAAGCAAACTAGGAGAGATACTAGATATAAAGTAACAGGAGGTAACATGAAAGTGGACTGGAAAAGGGAAGACGGAAGATATTTGAGGTTTCAATGTAAATGTCATCTGCAAAAATAGTCACACCACCTCTTATACAACCTAAATATTGACAAAAAAGATTATGCTGATTGCTTTTGATCCAACCTCCCATGGTTTGCTTTCACGCCTCCCCCAGCTTTAGGAAAAATGAATTCTGGGCTTCCTGGTCTGATGGGCCAAGGTCTGCATAGAAATGTATCAAACACACCTTAAGTGACTGAATTTTGAGCAGTAACTTCTTTTGACACGTGACTTCAGTACTGTTGGGACCCTTATTGGCTGTTTTTAGTCTGTATCTTCCCCAGGAACTGACTCCAAGCACCAAATAAATAGAGCTACAATAAAAATGCACAAAGGAAGGTTAACAGCCCCAGCCCTAAATCTCCTCTTCTTTCCTTGGGTTTCAACCCAGACAGATCCTACTCAGTGAAACTTAATTGACCTTTATATCTGTGTCCTGTCCTGTATCTGCACAGCACGTTTCCATGGAGCAGGACCTGCCCAGCCTGGGATGCCTTATGTTTGCTTTTTGCTCTCTCTCAGCTGAAACAAGGAAATAACAACTTGTGTCTGTCTCCCCGATGTTATTGTGTGTCAGGTTCCCTAACCCCACACTTACAAAGCCTCCTTATTAAACTGAGTCCTTCCTCTCATTCATATCTCTGCACTAACTGCCCTTTCAGCAACTTACTTAATGCAGCAAGAATATGCACTTACATTTGTCACATATAACAGTAAGAAGAAGGAATTATCTGCACACCTCAGGGAGTCAGTAAATGGGTGGCCATAAAGCCCTTCTGCTCCACCCAGTTTATCCACAGAGAAGCAGGTCACTGACATATTTTATCACTTTTACCTCATCCAGGGAGATCCCAAGTCTAGAATTCTTTTCCTACTGCAGAGGAAATATTTAATAATATTTTTGTTTAAAACAAAATGCAATCCCCAGCTAATCCTCGAGCAAGTGGTGTTTGTTGTATAACAAACTCGATCTCATCCAGCAGTGCCCTGAGATAAGGAGTTCCTAGGAAGACTGTAATTTAAGTAATGCAAAAAAAACATGACCTGGTTGGCATCAGCCATAGAAATCCTGGCATGGCCTCCAGGGAGTGAGGGTTATGGATCGGGAATAGAGGCTCTAACTCAGATCTTTGTTCCCTGGCATCATCACTCTTGGTTAAGCAGCTCAGGGTGGCTCTGATCCTGTGCTGTATGAAAGGAATGATGGTTAATATGGATCCCCGTGTGCCATGAGATGGGCAACCCCAGCCCACAGGGCAAAGCCATGTGGTCCAAACATCCAGAAGCACTTTTTGAGGAGCTGGGGTTGAAGGGCAGAAAACCAACACACTCCAGTGCAAATGTGGATGCAATGGTGGGTACAGACTCCAGAGCCATGTTCGCATCCAGGGAAGCCTCAGGTGCTGCATCTGTAAGATGTAGTGGGGGAAAGGTCTTGAGCATTACACCAAGTGCTGATGGCAGTCTTTGCTTTGAAGATTTTCCCTTCCTATGACTCTGAATCCAACCAGGGGAGAAGGTCCACAGTGGGGAATCTGTGTCTGACAACGGGGAGATGAGGAGATGGGGACAGGGGCTGCCACAGAAAGCTGCCTCTGGTGACCTGCCAGTGAGTCCCAGGAGGCAGCAGAGCCTCAGGTCTGCATGGGAGGAGTGAATAACCACAGGATGGAGCAGGGGGTTGTGGAGGGGAAGAGTGGGAGCATGGTGAGAGAGCGAGCCTCTTATCTGCTTCCTTGTGGCCCTGGCTGCTTCCTTCCATCTCTACATCAGGACCTTCCCATGCCCACCAGCCCTCAGCAGCCCTTCCATACCCCAGTCTGCAGGGCTTTGTTCCTCCTTTCTACCTTCTTTAAGAGAAATCTGCTCTAATGCAAATCCTTTCGCATTCTCTCTCCCACCTGCCTTCCTCGCCTTTCCCCATCAAACTCAGGAACAAACCTTTCTTTTTGGAGCAGTAACTGGGACATAAAAAATGGCTGTGGAGCCATCTGGGGCCCCTGGGGATTGTCACAATTCCCCACTATGGAGCACCCAACACTGCCACAGTTTGGTGCCAGGGGCCATCAGGGGCAGGCAGTGCCTGTCCCTCCCACGGGCTCTCCAGGCAGTGAGGGGTTAATGCACAATGGACTTTTCAGAAGCAGAGATGGAGCATCAGCCTTCAAAAGCACCAGGGCTGACAACCAAACTGCTGGTCCTGGGTCAGCAGCCATGAGGTGCAGGGCTCTCTGCAAGCTGTTTCCATTTCTTATAAATGCCTCTTTTACAGAAAGGAAGTTTGGTTGAAGCACATGCAGGAGAATGAATGTCAGAAATGTTGAAACTCTGCCCAGGCATGATGTAATGCCAGCGAGTGCTCTGATCTGCAGGCTACAATAAAGATATCCTGGGATGGGCCATTTACAGTTTCCTGGAATTGGAAAGACCTGTCTCAGGACCTAAAATCATTCCAGTTCTCCCTACTGATGGAGCGGTGAAGTTTTAAACTAAACCCAAATGAGATTCTGGGCTTGTTTTGGTGGGAATGAAGGAAATTCCAAGAACCTGACTTGTGTCTTTGGACTTTCCCTGCTCCTTAATTTCCTCTCCACCTTGCAGGAGGACACAGAGCTGTCATGAAGGATTTGCTGAGGGAAGTCCTGTGAGCTGCAGGCACCTGGCAGCTGTGATGAGTTTGCTAATGAGGGTGCAGCCCTGCAGCAGCCTGAGCCTCCCTGAAAAGGCCAGGGCACAGTGGGGTTGTGCTGATTTGGAGTGTACTGTGTTTGTGCCATCCTGGTCAGGAACCCCCCTGAGGCTGAAAGGGGAGTCCATTTATTTTACGTTGCTGGAGTCCCACCTGTGCAGCTGGGGCCGAGATCAGCAGAAAAAGAGTAAGTTGTGTCTTACAGTCGGTTGGGGTTTCTTTTGCCCTTGTGGCATCTGTGTGAAGGTGGGAATGGACCTGCCCAGCCAGCCATCTGCAGAGCCAGGGAGACCAGCAGCACACGTGGTGGGCAAGGCTGGCTGTGCCTCTTGTCTGGCTCCTGCCTTGGAGGGTTTGCTCCGTCCTGGCCTGCTCAGAAAATGTGCCAAACTTGCCAGCTGTGGGAAGGGCAGGCCAGGCCAGTGCCTGGGGCAGTGTGGTGCTGTGCCTCCAGCCCTCTGCAGGGGTAGGCAGGGGGAGCTGGGGCTGGAGGGTCATGGGGGCCACCCTGCCTGCGGCCGGCCCTGCTGCGCCCGGCCCCTGCCTGCGCCCGGCCCCTGCCTGCGCCCGGCCCCTGCCTGCCCTGCCACTGCCCTCCAGCAGCCCAGGGTGTCTGTGAGCACGAGGCAGGGAGATCCTGGGAACTCACAGTAGCTCTCCAGGAAAAGTCCCCTGGGTGTGGAGGCTGCAGTGATCAGTGATCAGGGGGTGTTTCACCTCTGCTCTCCCTCGGGAAGGATGTCCATAACCCCTGCTTTGTCTGAAATACTCTGTCCTGTCCTCGTGCAAAGAGGCTGCCAAAAAGGAAGCTGTGACGGACACTGAGAAGCTCCAGGGCTGGTCACGTTTGTGCCACGAGGATCCTGGAGGTGTTGAGAGCAGGCAGGGCACTGGGAAGGTGGCTTGTCCCCTGCTGGGACAGACTCTGCGGGTGTGCAGCAGGATGGGACCCTGGGCTGGGCTGGGTGCTGGTCCCCTGGGGAGTTTCTTTGGATGCTCTCAAAGGGGATGTGTAACTGCTGTTTGCCCCCCTCAAAAAAAAAAAAAAAAAAAAAAAAAAAAAAAGAAAAAAAGAAAAGGAAAAACCAAGTGACACATCGGGCTGGAGGCTGGGGGCCCATCACAGTTCAGCTGCCCCTCTGCTGAGGGACAGGGTGGATCTACAGCAAGGGAAGGACCTGTCACATCCTTCTCCCCACCAGGGAATGGGGGGACCCTGGGGAGGGAACACCTTGCAGGGACCAGCTGTCCCACATGATTCCTTGTTCAAACTTGTCACCTTCCCCTGCTCGGTGGGTGTGATTTCTTCCAAAAGAAGCACAGATTTTATTTTTTTATTATTATTTTTTAACATCTCCTGATGTCCCACTGACTCACCAGCTGTGGCTGAAATATCAAAGCAGAGGTTTTCTGCCCTCCCTCCCCCCTTTACTTTTTGTGTCTCCCTCCCATTTTTTTTGGTGTGTACCCCCCTCTTTTTTTGTGTGTGTGTGTGTGTCCTCCTCTTTTTTTTGTGACCCCTTCCCTTTTTTGTGCCCCCCTTTTTTTGGTGTCCTCCCTTTAAGTCCTCCCTTTTTTTTTTCCTCATTTTTATCGTCTCCGTTTCTTTTGCCCCTCTTCTCTTTTTTTTGACCCCTTTGCACCCCTTTTTCTTTGCGCCCCTTTTTCTTTGCGCCCCTTTTTCTTTGCGCCCCTTTTTCTTTGCGCCCCTTTTTCTTTGCGCCCCTTTTTCTTTGCGCCCCTTTTTCTTTGCGCCCCTTTTATTCCCTCCCTTTAATTTTCGTGTGGCCGTTGTTTGTGCGCGTCTGTTCCTTTATTTGTGCGTCTCCCGGGCCGATGTGCCCCGATCCTCCCCATCCCCCTTCCCGCCGCCCAGTTTCGGTTTCCCGCGGGAGCGGGGGCGCGGAGCCGGCTTCCGCGGAATCGCAGTGCCGCTCTCGGCCGCGGAGGGAGCGGCGGCGGGGGGGCCGGGGGGCAGAGGGGGCAGGGGAAGGCCCGGCCGGTGCCCTGAGTCAGGGGCAGGAAATGGCCGGGAATTCCAACGGCCGCCGGGAAATCCCCCCCGCGGCACCGGGGGATGCTCCTGCCGTGACCCCCGAGGGGGCTCCGACCCCGGCCCGATGCGCTGCCCACCCGGGAGGGACTCGAGAGGGGAGCACAACTGCTGTCTGGGGTGACTAATAATGCTCACCGGGTCAACTAAACTGTAAAAGGGAGGTATTAAAGGTTAATTAAAGTTAGGGGGGTGTTTTATGTTAAGGACATGATGTTTTCCCTGGGCGTGCTAGAAAAGGTGATATAGAATCAGCTGGGTTGGAAGGGACCTCCGAGATCATCCAGTCCAACCCTTGATCCAACCCCGCCATGGTTCCCAGCCCACGGCACTGATGCCACATCCAGTCTTATCTTAAAAACCTCCAGGGATGGAGAATCCACCAATTCCCTGGGCAACCCATTCCAATGGCTGATTACCCTATCTGTAAAGAATTTCTTCCTAATATCTAACGTAAACCATATAGATATATGTAAAATAGAAAAATTATATACAATATTATTTATAAATTATGTAATACTTATGTCATTAATAATATATATTATATAAATATATATTGTCTAGAACTCCCTGCAAAATTAGCATATACTATATATATTGTATATTACATGCAAAATATAGTTATAAGTCATCAAGCATATATTTATATTACATATATGATTTTTTATTTTCATGGGCATGCTGGAAAGGATGGTTCTTTTGAACTTTTCGTATAAACTCGTAGTGAATACTGAAGTACAGCTGGAGCAGTTCCCTCCTGAAGCAGGATCCAGGTGGGTCGGAGGGCAGGTCTGACCCAGCCAGAGCTCCAAGTCCCCTGCGAGTCCAAAGTTCTTTTTTGGGGGCCCCAATCCCGCTCCGGAATCGAGCTGCACCGGGCACGGGGTGGCGATCACGGACGGGGCTTGGGCTCAGCCGGGGGTCGGAGTCACGGGAGAACGGGGCTCCGGAGTCGGAGGAGCTCCGCACACCACAGGGAAAGCCCTGCCTGGGATTTTCCTCGCCCCAGAGCTCTCCGGGCAGGGCTGTGCATCCAGCCTTCGCGGTCCCCTGTTGCCACCTGCCGCCCGCCGCCTCCTCCTGCTCCTGTGCGGAGACTGCTCTGCTTTGGGAACAGCAGAGCGGCTGATGGGTCAACGTCTGCACCAATAACTCACAAATAAGAATTTTGCTGATTAATCCTTGTTTCATCCTTGCTCCCCTCATCTTCCGGAGCTGGGATGAAAAGCTGTATTTTTCCTTAATAAAATTTGGATAAGGCTAGAAAACACTGGGAAAATCAGTATTGATGTGGCAAGAAAATGTTTTGTTTCTGTGTATCTGTTCTGGTGTCACAGGATTCTCAGCCGTGCTTCAGCCGGGGTCCCCAGGGATGCCCCCAAAGAAGGAGCAGGGACTGGCATGTTGTATCAGGACCTGTCTGACCCAGGAATCTGGAACACATTAAATCAAACCCTTGGCATCACTGTGACTGACCACAAGTGCCTTGCTTGGCTGCTCAGCTTCTTTTTTCAACGTGTCAAAACTGGTAAGTTTTTCAAGAAGCTTTTTCTGTGATTGAAGGGACACTGCAGGAACCTGCCTCTCCCTCTGACCGAAAATCTCTTCTCAATTTGGTTCTCATTTCTTTCTCTTACATTTGAAACTTTTTTTTTTTTTTTTAAGAATTAATTTGTGCTGGATATTTATAGCAAGAAAGGCAGTCATCCAGGGAGCCAGAGGAAACGTGCAAGCTCAGCTCTGCCACGGGCAAGGGGGGCACCTTACTGAGCTCTTGGGTTTTTAATTCATGAATCATTAGAAATAGCTTCCAGCAATACACTTGCACAGTCACCTGAAGGATCCAATTGCCCTGACTGTGAGAGATTTTACAATAACTACATTTGCTAAAGTGTGGGAATAGTTTGGAAGAAATTTGGGGGGAAGGGGAAAGCCAGAGACAAACATTTATTCTCTTTATTAAAACTAGTAAAGATACAGAATAAATATTTTCTTCAAGATACATATATCCATAAAATGTAATATAATTTAGTTGACACCATAGAAATAAAGTCATATCGCTCTAAACACTCCTATCCATTAACTTTAAAAAAACCAGATTTTAACACAAAGGAGGAGTACTTCTTTAATAAGTAAACATTTTACTGCTCATATAAATTTTCAGCAATTTTAGAAACTTCTGACTCTATGCTCTTGTGGGTTTTAATGCTTTTCGGATGAATGTCATCAGCTTGTTTATAAATATCGTTGCATTCCTTCTTTCTGTATCACATTTCCCCTGAAAAATCAATCAAGAAAATGAAATTGATTAATATTTAATCATTATTTAGAGCTTGTTCATCTCAAAATCATTTTATGAATGATACAATTTTCCTTAAATTTGCTGATCACACATATGAATCCTTAATTTAGAGGTGGAGCAAGTGGGAGACTAGAACAAGGGAAGGGCATAAACATGAAATAATGCCAGGATTTATTCTTCCATGTATTAAAAACAAGCCAGTACAAAAATTACTCTCTTTTGTAGACATAAGGGCTCGTCTATGAATTATAGATCATATTCTGTAACATCTCTGCTGTGGGATCTCTGGCAGACAGTGAATAAATTCCTACCTCTTTTGCCAGGCTGGGAGTGAGAAATTGCTTCAGTCTTTCAAAATTTTGGAAAAAAGCACTGAATTTTTTCATAGCTGGATTAGTTTTCAGCTGTTCTGTTCCTTCAAAGATTGTGCTGATACAATTCACATCCTAAGACGAAAGAATTAGCAAAACTGAGGCACAAGAATTTGTA